ATGGCAGCACTGGTTATTTGGTGAAAATTGATTTTGGGACATTAAGAAACAATCCGGCAAGTGAAAAAAACCGTTACGCATTTGGCTGAAATTCAGTGATGAGAAAAGTGGCGCTATCCTGCGCAAAAGCCAGGTGATATTAAGACAAGTTAATCGCATTTTGGACGATACATGGACTATGATTGAACCTTGTTCTCTCATAATCACATCTGACTTTACAACCAAGCTACAAGTCGACAGAAAGCAATTTCCTTTAGGACCGGCAGAAGCCTTAACGACTAACAAGTATCAAGGTGGAACTTACAAAGATGTTGTAGTTTATGATACTGCAAAACATAGAATGAGGAAGTCACTCATTTATGTCGGATATTCACGGGCAACTACCGCTGCGGGACGTACACTTATTTCCAAAAACAAGAAGTTTATCCCACCCAAAGCACTTTCGTCAGAAAAAAATAGCGCTCTTTACAAAGAAATCAAACGACAGCTTTCCATCACTCTTTCTCCCACATTCACTGTCTTAACCACAAAATCTCATTTTCAAGTTATATCACACAATGTCCAGAGTCTAAATGTTCACTTGAATCAAATCATCAACGATCCGGTATATTTGTCCTCTGATATTTTAATGTTAGACGAAACATGGACTTTATCAACTGATAACTTTCAAATTCCTGGTTTTCAACTTTAGCCATTTTTAAATTGTTCAGGTAATACACGTAAACCCATCGGTAGTTGCTGTTATGTCTCAGATAAAAAGATGTTCCCTATTGAATTACAATCCGTTCCGTTTTAATCCTTTTTTAAAAATATGTTAAAGAGTCTGTTTATAGGTTCAAATCTTTACCTTGTATCAATTAATTTTGCATCTTACTGTGAATCTTTTTCTTCTTTTACATGTGCTGTTCAATGTAATTTTCCCTTTGCCTTTTTGTATGTTAATTTCTGTCATCTTTTTTAAGTGAAGGGTCTCTTTAAAGGATACTATTTTGAGACATCTTTTCTTCGACATGTTGTATTTGGTCTCTATTTTATAGAAGCGCGGGCATAACTATCTTAAATAAATATGCAATAAACAACTGTATAAATTACCACTGTTCCTTTTTTATTATTATTAAATTAGAGCATGTCATTTGATTTAAAAGAAAGTTCAATCTTGGGATATAAATCGTTTTTGTTATCATTCTCCCAATTAGGTACACAATCCTCTCTTCAATTCCAGCTAAGCTCCTCGTAGATGCAACCATTATTTTACCAGTTATTAAGGGCTAGCAAGGATAAACACTGATTAAGGACGGTATCATAAGAAAAAAGAATAATATGAAGCTCCCTTTATAATTTATAAAAAGTGGGGGACAGTTACCACTTTATAGCTAGTATAAAAATGGATTTTAAAGGCACGGCTTTTTTTGTGATGAGCAGGCATAGCAACGAAATCCAACAAAAGAAATAGGGGTCAATCGGAACACCTATATTAAATTTACATTCAAAAGGGAAGGCTCCTTTTTTATACCGTTCATTTAACATGCCAAGGGTAGTCTGTCTTTGTGTTTAATCCATAGTCTGTATCCCTTAGTACCTGTATATTTAAAAGATGTAGCCTACACGTATAAATTGCATACATGTATATTTTTTTTGCCATAATTAACCGTTAAACTAGTCGGTTATAAACAAGGGTGTGATAATTGAGAGATAAAAAGGGAAAAGTAATTGGGAAAATAAAGCAAGTAAAGAAATGAGACTCTATAATCCTTTATTATAAGTTGGAGAGTTTGTCATGATAAAAATAGAGGTCCTTTTTATATTCAATTATTACTTCAAGATTTTTCCTGCGCAGATCGAATTGACTATTTACCCGCAAACTGGGAAATGGTAGAATTAGATTTAGAAATCAGTTACATATGAAACATAGCTTATTGTTATATACAAGGAGCTAGTTGACCCATATCCGGCACTTCTAGAGCATTATAGTTTATCCATTCAATGACAGGGTCCTTGATTGGATTACTAAAATAAATTTATGAGAAACTAGAAGATTCGGCAGCTACTCGACCAATCCAGGAACGATTATGAAATCTGATCTCAGTTTGACATATGAGGTAGCTGGTACTGTGTCGTACCAATAGGAATGTATTCGCAATATGGTACTTATAATACATAGGTTATATGTATTATAATTGAGTGACAAGATAAGAGTAATTATATTCGTGGAATTAGGCGTCAAATACGACAAAGGGCATGCTGATACTTATAAAATAACATCCATCTTATGATGGTATAAATCATACTTTTTTTTTTCGCAAAGGAATACAACAGCGGCACCAGAAAAGCATTTTTAAAAGACAAAGCAGTGTTGTAAACTTGATAGTTATGATCAGACATGATGGCTTACTTGTAAAATACATGCATGAGACCTGTTCGTGTCCCTATTAGTATTACAGGTAACGTGCCACCAAGCTTAAACCTGATAACTTTTTTGCTCTTTTATAAATCCATTTTTATATGCCAAAAAACATTTTTCTACTAATCGCTGACAGAAGAACGATTGTAACAATGTTTTTAAACAATAATATAAAAACAGTTTACATTTTTAGTTATCAAAAAAATTTGGTGATAGCCATCAAACATTATCGGTGTTGAAATATTTAAGCGGGCGAGTATAGGGGAGGCCCATCATTTGAAACAAACAAAAAGAGCTTAGGTAAATTTTTAACGCCCGACAACCATTTCAGCCAATAAAACAGCAGGAAATGGCTGAAACCGTAACTTTTTTTTAAAAAGCTATGAACTTCATCAGTTTTAATTTTGATAACTTCGCAATAGCTTTAAGTTTTAGATGCAATGTTGGCAACCATTTCTTCTGTGAAGAATTTTTAATTTATTTATAAAAAATTCTATTTACCATCAGAATTGTTAGGGCGCTCGTAAATTTCTGTGGGACGCTAAATAGAGTTCCGACAGTTGGAGGGCGTACCGGATGTCAATCCTATTGAAGCTATCAACTTTATCAATAGAACTTTTTTTACAGATTTTATTTCAGATTACAATAATACAAGTATAAAAGAGTAGTTCTTTTGTCATCGATTTTCAATTTATTTATAAAAATGTCTGTTTATTTTCAGTCATTAGTGCGCTTATATATTTCTGTGGGGGGCAATAAAGTTCCGACATTTAGAGGGCAAATCAATGTCATTTCTATCAAAGCTATCAACTTTATCAATATAGCTTTTATTTCTGTTTTTATTTCAGATTACAATTGTAAAATCATGAAGGATTAACTCTTCTGTCATCGATTTTTAATTCATCAATAAATTAAATTTTTTATAGCAATTTTTTAAAAATCAGGCAGTGAGTATATGTACTAGGGTGGAGTAAAGCGGGAGGCTCGCCTCAAATGCGATTACACTTTCAAGTCTTTGGATAGCAACATGGATGCATTTTTGGATAAGGCAGGAAGAATTGCCAGAATCAGAAGATACTTTCGGCGTGCAATTGAATACATTGAACCCTACAGCAAGTGAAGTGACGGTGCAGACCGTGAAGAAATTGGCGGAAAAAAAGTACCTTCCCACAGAAAGGTTAGAATCCTTTCGGACTTAGACCATGAAAAGAATAATTTTTTTATGAATACACATAAATTAGCATTCATTTGACCTTCAATGCTGAACTTTTTTTTTTTTTTTTGCCTAAGTCAAGGGGAGTAGGGTACTCTTGCCAAAAAAAAAAAAAAAAAAAAAAAAATACTCATCACCAACATCGCAATTGCGAAAAAAAAAAATTTGAAACAAATTTGAAATTTATCAGGTTTAAGCTTGGTGGCACGTTAACACCTATTGACTGTACATAGATTTCTGCTGCCTATAAAAAAAAGAATTAAATACAGCCGCATTATGTAGAGTCTCTTATAGATTATAGTGTGCGTGAAATAAGAGGGTATATGGAGACGTTCTATTTTTATTGAGTGTCAGTTGGTATGTCTTTATTAAATATCATTACTCTGTATTTAATATTTATAAACAACTCCCCATTCTTAGCTGTCGTATTTGGGTATGATTTATTTGAGAATAAACAAATAAATCGAATAAAATAAAAACATGGAATAAAAACATCCTTTAATATTGAGTAACAGCATACACCTGTATACTGCTACACAACGACTCCTACTATGAGTACATATTTCTATATAAAAAGATTGCATGATTGGCTTAAAATCGATATACGAATGACAGTTGGATATAGAATTCTATACCACTGAGTTACGATATCACCGGTCGGGAAGAGAAGCTTCTCCGATCAAATCAAGAAATATAAGAAAGAGAAACTTAATATTAATAGTTCTCTCAATGGATTAGCTACCCATAGAGAGAATAGAACAGCTATTTATATAAATGGTTCATTTACTTATATATTGATAAACCCAACTTATACGACTGTAAGTGTATAAGAGAAGTAGTGCATGGAATATTTGGATGCCTATTTTCTACAACTAAATATACAAACATCGATAAGATGTTCTATATTTAGGATCACATATTTACCCATGTCTTAGATAAAAATAATCAACAGAATGGATAAATGATCAGACATATCTACATGTTCTACCACAGCCAATTAAACACAAAAACCTTATGCATCTTTTAACTAGCCACCGTTACACAATATCTTACTGGAATTCTGTATTTTAAACAGAACAATAAGAGTGTCCCAGATCGGTTGATTCAGGGCGACGTTATTTGAAATCAATTCTAACGAGTAGAATTCATTTAATGTAAGGCGGGAAACTGAGTATAGATTTATTACAAGACCAGAAAGGTTGACTCAACACAACTACCAGGGGAAGTTGTTCAATATAAAAAGGATCAATTATTTCATCGCAGCAGAGTTCTTTGAGTCTATTTTTACCTCGAATAAAGATATACTTTTTTCTCATTACTTTTTCTTTGTAATATTTTTGTCAAATACCACATTAGCATAAGGGGGAGGGGGATTTTTTATTACTTATGGTAGTCCTCAAAAATAAACTCTATGGTTGCTTCTTTCAGCATGATAAAGAAAAAAGAGAATTACAGGTAAGGCATTATACAGCGCATCATCGACATACTCGTATAAAAAAATAATAAAAACTATTACCCCTCCAATTTTTAATATATTAATTGTGCTAGTTTTATGCTTTTATAGCCCCTAAGATTAAAGTCATTGAACCAAGTATATATTACAAAAAGCACGCTGTTCTTTTGTTTTTATTATTTTCATAAACTGATAAAGGTCAGTATCTCCCCTCCCCCCGTCCTTTTTTTTTATTTATTTACAACCTGAGGTAAAACAGTTTTTATTTCCCCCCCTTTAAATAAATGCAACAGGTAGTATGTGTTTTTATATAATAGTCTGTGGGTTACATGTGTCGATCGGAACTAAAAGCCAAGGTAATAACTATGTGATTTTATGATTTCATTTTATGGGATGACAGCCAAATGGTTTTTTAAGAATAGGTATTTCATGCATCTTTTAAAACGTATGGCAATGAAAGCTTTAATTTTATTTTTGTTTTTACTATTTAGTGTGGAAGCAAGGATTGTGGAATAGAGACACTAAAGTTACCTTTGGTAATAAAGTAAGAGTAGTATTCAATAACGCACTCGCGCTGGTGTGATGGGAAGAACGCGTAAAAGAACAATGGATTAATTTAATTTGTATTCTTGCATAAAAAAAAAGTCGCTTTTGACAGGTACGCGATCGACTCCATGCAATTAAAAAAGTGGCGATTGACTACGCTTGCATTTAAAAAGAAGCAATTGATGTCAAATTTGTGTCTTTTCTTTTTTTTCTCTTTATCGTCAAACGATTAAAATGCATGAGCCTATGAAGAACCAGCTTAAAAAAATGTTTGATGCATTGAAACAACATTGTAAGTACATGGTATGGTTGTTCATGAAAAGGAAAATAGCTAATTGTATTCTATAGATCCAGACCAACATACTCAAATAATCATGGAATGTTTGGATGAAGCAGAGATTACTTTGCCAGCAAAAGGTTAGCTCTTTTTTATTCTTTAAAAAAAAAAGGTATATTTGTGCATGTACCTTAACATGTACATAATCAGATCAATCAACAGTATTGCCTGTTGAAGGAAGACCAATGGCAACACCAAGAAAAAGAGTCATAATTGAGGAGACAAGTGCCAGTGGTTCTGGTAAGAAACGAAAAACATACAGAACGAATCCCTATATCGATGATGAGGCAGAATGTTTTGATGACGATCATAAAGACAATGATCATCATCAAGAAAATAATATTTCTAAGGCCAAAGACAATAATAAAACCAATGATAATCCAGAGCACAACAAGAATGATAAGGTAGATGTAGAGCAGTTGCAACAAACTGCGAAATCACTTCTTCCGGACTTGGAGAAAGTTCAATAGAATTTAGAAGGATTGGCTGAGGATGTCAGATTGAAGAGGATCGATGTTCCAATTGCACCTCAATTACTTGATGATACTAATAAAGAAGCGGTGACGAAGTATATTGTTGATATCCATCGATATCATGATAACGGGGAACGATATAGAAATCTGGGATTATTAATCCAATACGCTGGTGCATTCCGTTTGTTTTGCCTCTGTGAGACAATCAAGAAAGATTACCCAGGCTTTCATGCTACAGTTGTAGATTTTTTAAAAAGTAATTAAGACTACTAATAATAGTAAAAACAACAACATCGAATTAAAACTAACATGTAAAATAGAATGCAATTATAAATATTCCAAGATCGACACCCTGAAAGCAGCCGGTAGAAAATTCAACTTGCTGTTACAGCATTTCTAGCAGGGCGCAGCAGTAATTTTTACATTGTATTCGACAACTCAGATGCGAAGATTCAATGATAGAGACATTCATGCTATCATTGGTTATATTAAGAAAAACAAGGATTTGACGGAGAAGTTACGTGCTTTGAAATTTGATGACAGCACGCTTAAGAATATCGGCGAATTAGCCTATGTAGATTTTAAACCAATAAAAAATAAGCTAAAAATATAATTAATGTTGCGTATGTGAAATGAATTACTTTTACTTTTTTAAAAGTTGCATTGTTTGACTGATTATGATGATCACACAGTAGAATATCAAAGGGGAGAGCACTTAAAAAAGACCGGGTTCTATTTTTTTTCTTTTTGTCCGTTTATTTTTAAAGAGTCACGGCTCTTTACAATGTAACGCACAAGAAAAAGGTAGTAATGTAATGTGAAAGACTAACGCGGTAAGTCGTTCTATTAAAGTGCCAAGACCTATGAGAAGGAATCAGTACGAGATTTTTCTTCCATGTATAGAGTCATCAGTTTGGGTAGAGGAATTGCAGTCAGCAAAGACAGAGTGAAGTGATAGACAAGGAACACGAACCCCGAGCGTCTTTATAAATGAGTCACGCTAAACAAGAAAAGGAAAAGGGAGACAGTATCATGGAGGCCTGTTCATGATAAGCGCTGATATAGCGCTAGTACGAATTTAGATTTAAAAAGGGACAATTGTAATTATATAACAATTGTGATAGTGAGCACCAGGCTTTTAGTTGTCAACTTAGTTTCATTGTTTATTAAGAGTATTTCTGTAGTGATCTTAGACGATAAAATATATGGATAAGACAATTAAACGCAAATCGATAATAATACAGTGAGAGATGAGAAGAGAATATATTTCTTAGATGTCAAAGAGAAAAGAGTTTACGACGGGTTTATATAAGAAGATGATGTGATTGTATAATTTACAATAGACAACAAACAGCAACAAAAAGAGGAGGAAATACTACTAGTATCAATTACAAGATAAATCCCAATTTTAGGTGAACACAAAACTAAATAATATTTCTTAAAAGTGAAAAAAAGGAAGTGTATTTATAGGAAAGATAGTATCCTGTGTAACGACAAGCCGCATTATTATTGGCTGAAACAGCGCATTGGTTGATGGCAAAATAAAGTAGCTTCTTTATGAAGGGGGCTTACTAAAAGTGCAAGGGGGTTGACTTTGAACAGTACTGATAGATTCATTTTGTTTGCACAGAAGGATGATGAGAACGAGTAAAGAATAATACTGCACAGGCAAAAAAAGATTCAATGGGGGTATGGTAAAGCAAACAACGCTAGCACTAAAAGGATGTATCAAAAAAGACTGAGAAGCTGATCTTCTTAATATATTTCTTCGTGCAACTTGTAAAGATGAAAGTATAAGATTGTAGTGTATATTATGATTAACAGGATGAAGGCGTGATGGCATTCAATACAAACCATAAAATGCATTCTTAAATAAAGGTTAACAGGAACATGAGCCTGTATATTTTGTTATATAAAATAAGTTGGTACTAAAGTAAGGTATAGGATAAAATAAGTCTTTGTACTGAACAAAGAGCATGTGTATAAAATGGAAAATAGTGGACAAACTTAAGTACTCTTTTTTTTATTTTATTTTTTTACTTGATAGTTTAATTTATATCTAAAGGGCAATACAATTGGAAGGTCGATGTAATCTCTATTACTGAGAAAATGGTGTATGGACGACGTGTCTGTTTGTAAAGAAGGAACAAAGGAAACACGTAGCCACATATTATATATGAAATGTGACGTTTGCGTTGGGCGCAAGCACAATCAAAGGCCAGCACAAAATCTCCGCATACGTCATCTATCTGTCACGAACCACGTACTTTGCACTTTGCCCCTGACCACAAATCCCTGACTATTGGAATGTTCTGGAATCTCATGCTGAGATTCAACAACCCCAGTGTCCAGAACCTTCCAGGCCTTCCAAGACTATCCACGCAATGAACCTCCGCTTCCAAGAGATTAGTAATCATCACTCGTTTCCAAGTATCACCGACGCCAAGCAATTAGTAATCATGACTCATGGGTTTCCGCCACGTAAGCTGAAACCAACACTAAGACTAATTAAGTAAGCCAAGACATTCTTAAATGCAAACCCATGTTATCGAAAAAGATATAAATACTCCCCCTTTCCATCGCCATCCCCGTTCCATGTCGATTATCGTGTATCCCTCCCCTTCCCTGTATAATCTCTTTATTATTACTAAATACTTTTAAACCTCTCTTCCTTTGTCTTTGTATAACTAGTAGGTATCTCCTGATATTATTCCTATAATATATTCCTAGCCACGTTCCTGACACTTTCAAATGATCCACAAGACCTAAGGGCTGAAGCATCATTCAAGCGCTCTTTAAAAGAGGCAATTATTTTCAACAATACTTATCATGCAGATTTACTTGAAAGTATAAATAAAAAGGGTAAAACTATCTCAAGCTAGCCACAATCACAACCACAACTACAGCCACCACAACTTGCAGAGGTAAGAAATTTTCCACTTCTTTAAGTGTTCACTCTTTACTCATTTATACATTGTAGATCCAAGAAGAAGATGGGCTATTGTTACAAGGATTGGAAAGGTCTGTGGGTGCAATTATCAAAACCTCAGCTATCTCACTCTATCTTAATTATTATCAAGATAATACATTGAAGCCAATTATTACGTAAGTAAATTATCATGTAATATCTTTAAAGGAAGACACAGTGCTAACTCATACTTTACGTGTTAGGCTTGGTTTAAACAGTATTTTGGATTTGTCGTATAATTACTCGGAAGCTCAGTCAGTGTTATTCACTCCTGATCAGTGGAGAAAGCTGAGAACTTCACTTGCAAGAAAGGGGAATGCAGGGTCACTTGCTATGAAATCAAAAGTCGAAAAGATGCTGTGTAGAGCAGAGCCGTTAGCCGAAAATGATATCATTAAGGCTAGTGATTACATCTACAAGTACTTATATAAAAAAAAGCAAGTTAACACAAGACCAAGCTTTCACTCTGTTTGCCCATGCTTTTATTACCGAAGTTATTGCTCATAATCAATACATGTTTGACAAAAATATTAAAAAAAAATGAGCAAGACTTTATTGTCAAATTCTGGGGGCCACTGTTGGAAAAGCTTGTGCAAAACACGGGTTTACGATTGAGATAAGGCGAAAGCTCATGCTCAATGTTGCCAAGCCGCCTGAGGGCTGACGTTCGCGTCATTTACGATAGACAAGAAGGACAACAGCACCAGGAGTACGACATGATGAAAATGGAAGCTAGTCGAATGGATCCTCCGAAGCAAAAGTTCGACTTCGACCATACAAAATTGCTAGTAGAAACCAAAGATATCATTGACTCGCTGGAAAGTGACATCAAGAGGGAAATGAGTTGTTTTCCATTCTGTGGGTTAGAAATTTTTAAATATAGCGTTAATCATGAATTCAACACCATCTATGTCAACAACCAGGTTGATTACCATATCATTACGTCTGATGTCACAAATTTCCAATTCATGAGATCTCTTTGCGTTACCTTGGTAGCTACCCGAGATGAATGGATGAGTTGTAGAAACCTTACCATGAATGCAAAGGACAATGCGAATGTTTCGTATCCAAGCTCGAGCATCAAGAAATTAAATGAGTCAGATGAATTAAAGAAAAGCCCATCGTGGTACCCTCCCCGACCCAACCAAAGAACATCTCCTGTGATGGCTATCCCCGTCAATTTACATTGAAAAATTGATTTTCTTTATTTCTATGATTTTTTTAAAGTCAAGGGGTTTTTTTTTATTTTTATTTCCAAGTATTAAATTATCATTGTTTGTATAAAAAAATTCTGACATGTGTTTTCTATCTAATGATTTAAATTACTGTGATGAAACAAAAAAGAACATGACTTTTATTCCATGTAATTAAACAGTGCTCGTAAACAATAAGGAGTTGAACAAAACCCGATATGCACTTATTGGCAACAGAAAAAAAAATCATTATTGGACAAGCTTCAAATATGTGATACTATAAAAAAGAAAAAATGGAATATAGAGCAAGTGTTGGAGCCAATAATAATATGATTGATTGTTACGCAGGATAGGATACTTCTTATGAAAACTCTTCTTTTTTTTGTAATAAATGATCTTCTATTTTTTTTTGTGTGTTTGTGGTGTGGCGACACCCAATTCCTCTCCTACCCATCGCTTTGAAGAGATTCCGCAATATCGTACCCCTCGTGCGTCTTCACTAATGGGATATTGCCGACTTTTTAATAGTGAAGGGCGACAAAGATATCATTCTTGTTGTCGTTGACAGCCTCCGTCAAGCACAGAAAACCATGTATAAACTTCGCTCTTCATTATTACCTGCTAATCTTCAGCCAGAAAATAACCTCAGATGTTTTTGTCTCTTGCAAAATGGCAATTTGCTACTTGCGCATGCACAGATCTGTGCTTCAACGTGTTTTTTTAAAAAAACTTATGTGTGTATCTTTTATAATACATGCTTATCTGTAGTTGTCTTTTACTTTTTTAAATTCTCATCATCAAAGTAATAGACTAAAATATTTTGTTTTCTCTACATACGAGCATATGCGCCACAGTCATCATACAGTAGTCGCTCGATTTAAGGGTGACCAAAAATTTCGGAAATCTCACCCTTAAATAGAAAATACCCTTAAATCGAAAAGCGTGACTATTTTAAACAGAAGTCACTACGCCATTTTTAACCGTGAAATACGATCATTACTGCGAAATATTTATTTTTATTCGGACATTCAATAAATCTGATCAAAAAGTTAGAAAAAAGTCAAAAATACACTGTCAAATCGTTGGATTTAAGGGTATGGGGAATCGGAATCTCACCCTTAAATAGAATAGTGGTTTAGTGGTGTTAATGCTGGGGACGGAAGCTGTTTTTCCAAAATCCACCCTTAAATAGAAAATACCCTTAAATCGAACACCCTTAAATCGAGCGACTACTGTAGG